GTCATCTCCTGTTATCACACGTTTCAAAAATTGATCATTTTCCTCATATTTCAAGAGAGAATCACAGATGTCCACGTGCTCAGTGAGATGTATTTCTTTGAGCTCATGTGGTACCCAAATATCGAGCTTCCTAACCTATCCAAGTTGTTTTAAATGGTTTTCAATGCTCAATTTTGACATCTTAAGATTATCAGCCTCTTGTGTCGTTAAATGCCGACTGGATTCAATCAATGCCTTTATTTTATTGTTTTCAATTTCAATTGGCCTTGCTGAGTGTGGTGCATCTTTAACATCAAAATCTCTGAACTGAAATTTCGCAAACCAATTCTGACACTGCCATAGTTTTAAGGCATCTTCACCATACACATCACATCACTTTTTAGGAGCTTGCACAGCGTTCTTACCTTTTCAGAAGTAATACAGCAAAATATGACAAAAAAGTCCCTTTCAATTAAATAAATAATTGTTAACAAAGCCATGCCCTTTCCTTTTCTAAAACAAGCTTCAACTGTCAGCTCCCAAGTTACAGAATGAATTTGTGGTTTAAAATGAAGTTAAGTTACATTTCAAGACATGTCTATCCATCTATTAAAAAAATACCCAATTACTTTTTGGCCAACCCAGTATTTGTCTGATAGAGCAGAAATACTTCCTAGATCCTTGCTTTCTGTCCCTTTTTTTGGCTTACAAGATTCCCAAGAAAAAGTTCTGTAAATAAAGCATAAACTCAAAGGAAGCACATTTGCTCTCAGATGCAGAACACTCACGGAAAGCAGTTGGCCAGCTCGACTGCAGACACCAAGGTTTGTACTGTATATTAAGAGGGCAGTGCCTGAGGGTCCCAGCTGTAACCCAGCATTTCCCAGGACCGCTCAGTCCCTGGGGTCACTTCTGTATCCAGCTCAGTGACCGCAGTCAGCTCCCGCTGCGGCACTGGTACCTGCACGCTCATATTCAGGGAAATGAGGGACTCAAAACACAGTTACGATATGCATGAAGTCTTACCTTCTTGTGGAACTTTGCTTAACCCATTCCACCGTGAACCAGTGAATACAGGCACACGACTTTGCGTCTGTTTTTCCCTTCTTTTTTTTTCTTTACCAGTTGCTACCCAACTCACATTATCAGCACAGGCCTATGGGCCCGAGTCTCTTTTACACGGAGCATTCACAGACAACAAATGGCACCAACGTAAGCCACATACAAACAGGGCATTATCCTTATACTTACTGCTCCACACCTCCACAGGACACTGACAACAGAAGCACCTTAAACCTTTTTCTGATAAAGTGCTTTCTGCACAGTATGTGAAACAGATACGGCATGGCAAATTTTACTGCCTCAGATACAGCTGTGTTACAAAGGTGCATGTGGTTTGGTAGCGTAATCTTTTACTCTGATAATCTATTAAACACCAAAGAAAGCTTCTTAAGTTAATCAGGGCTTAATTTAAATTAACAAGCCACCACAAGATTAACAAAAGTCCTCAATGGAATCTGAATGCAAAACCAGTCTGTTCACAATGTCCATAAAAGCAACTGCACTGGGATGAAACTGGCCTACTGACCCCCTTTTTCTTCCCTAATTTGAACCAGCAATGAAAAAGATGTTAGTTTTCTGAAACACCAACTCAACCATTTCCAGCTCCATTGACGCAAACAGCAGCTTTGGCAACATCATCACGAGCACATGTGCTAATACTGCATGTGAGGAGGAGGAGGAAGAGTTGGGATGACTCCGTTTTTGTGATGGAGAGGAGTCAGCTGAACCCGGAAGAGACCTGGACCTGCCTGAGCTGAAGCCCCCAGCAACCACATTCGCAGCCAGAGCAGAAATTCCCCTCCCCAAGAGCACGCTGTGGGCCAGGGGAGGTGAGAGCTTGGGGTGAGGGCAGCAGTCCTGTGGGTGACTTTGCTGCAACAAGCCACTGCTTCCATGGGCAGGCCTCCTCCTGGCAGTTAAGTTATATGGTAAGGTATGCATAAATATTCACATGTTCAGCACCTAAATATGTAAAGATAATAATTTTAAAACTGTCATCTTAGGCCCAGTGTTGTTATTTTATCCCACAAAGGCAATAAATGACCAAACCTTGGTGAACAAAACAGGCCAGGCTGGAGTCCACACAAAATATCTTTGGGCTGACATGCTATATACAGCAGATATTCACTAGATAGTCATTATTTAATGCTGCTGCTCTACAAACTCTCTGTTAGTGCTTTCAGTACTATGACTAGTACATTTTCAAGTATTAACATTTTCCAATTGCAAAACCATCTCCTTTATTTTTTTCCCCATGAAAACGGCTGATTATCTCCCAAATGTGATAATTTCATGAAAAAGTCTTGTTATTTTAAGTGGGTTGGACTAGATGACCTTTAAAGGTCCCTTCCAATCCAACACATTATATGATTCTATGATCTTTGCTAATCTGAAAATTTACGCTGAGCTTGAGTTAAATAAAAACAGTACATAAAGAAGAACATAAAAATATTCACAGAGCCAAAATCTAGGGTAGGATAGCTACAAAAAATTATTTCTCCATGATATTTCACTTGCCCTTGGGCAAAAATGGTTCATTTTGACATGACAGAATTTAACACCTCTTTTGCTTGCTTTTTTTGTTACTCAGAGCATGATAAAAATAGGTACAAGGAGACCAGTTGATGACCAAAGAAAAACATTCTATTTAATCACAGTATGTACATCCAAAGTACAAATTACCAAGCCGCATTTCAAAATGCATTCACAATGCCACTCTGCCACGGTCAACGTGCAAGATGCAACGTTCTTGCCAGCCACTGGCAAACAGGAAATTCCAGCCACGGACAACTTGCTGGCAGGCATCAGGCGAAAGGAAGCCCAGGGCAGCAGGGAATGCAGAGGCAGGAGAGCACCCCAGAAAACTGCAGCTTTGCAGCTACCCTTCGCATTCCTTCAATCCCTACTTACCTCTCCAACTGGTTCGCAACATTTCCGGCATTCCAGTGTGGTTTGGACCTTTCTTTCCCAACCCGTCGTGCCAGGCTAACGTGAGACTGTTTCCTACATCATTATTTCACATTGAAATGTTCTGCACACAAAGCATTCCAAAAGTGCGATTAGGCCCATTAGCAATGTAATCATATTTTACATTTGGGCAAGCGCTTTAGTTTATATTGCACCAAAACTGTCCTTTCACAGAGAGACTTGCCTGAGGTCACTGAGGAAGCCTGTGGGAAAGCTGAGAAATCAGGCCCTTGTTGCAGAATCCCCCTAGCTGCAGGATCATCACTTCTCTCTTTCATATTAAAGCAGAAAGAAATTAGTATCTTGAATTCCTCATTATTATCCTCCTCAGGTTGCTTCATTTTCTGCTTCAAATAGTCCTCTCTTTCTTTAGATTCGCCTTGGATCAAAATTTTCCTCGCATTAGAGACACGTTATCACCAGCAACAAATGCGAAGCTCCCATTCGCAGTCTGTGCTGCTGGTGACTTGGAGCAATTCTACAGCAAGTACAAAGTGTACCAGTTGGAGGGGAATATGAATAATACCATGCTGCTGCTTTAGTACAACTACATCTCTGCACAGAAAAAAAAATATGGCACAAGAAGCAGTAAAAAAATAAAAATATCTATCTCATTTTCCTTCTGCCAGTGCTCCCAGAGCTTAATGGAATTCAAAGCTATAGAACATAAATGATTAAATAAAAAGGCAAATGAAGTTTCTTCTTGGTCAAAATCAAGTATAGCATCAGTTTGGCATCTTCCAAGTCCTCTGCCAGGGAATTAATTAGTACTTAACATTCTGTGATTTAACATCTCCAAAGTGCTGTCCATCAATTGCCTTATTAACCTGACACTTGCCAGCCCTGTGGATGGTAGTGGATGGTCTCTTATCACCTCAGTGCGGGAAGTTTCCTCATTCTAAGGACCGCATTCAGCCTTCCTACAGCACGGATCGCAGGTTATTTCAGTTCTTTCCTCCCAGCCAGAGAGCGCAGCGGCAGCAATCCCTCAATCCATTCATTGGCAGCCGACATCATCTCCTGCCAAAAGGCCACCTCCTCTTGCGTGGAGTCCATCCAGTTCACAGAGACACCATAGCTCAAACCTGTGAAGAACAGGAAAACTACAACGTTGGGAGCTACACGAAGAGTTTCTACTCCATGCAAAAAGTAGTCAATGGGATATAACTGTTGCAGGCAGTATCTTAACCGAAAAGGTGCTGACTTCCCCTCAACAAGCTGCACACTAAATACATCCTGATCTTCTGCTAATGACCTCCATTTACACCAGAGTTCATAATGAAGTCAATGTAAAAGCCACAAAAACCAAGAACCCTAAATGTAACGTAAAGTATTACTGGGCTCAAGCCCTTCCTGCATCTTTCAGAAGGTAAAGAAGGTCTAAAAGGTTTGTTTTTCCCCTTAAAAGATTTTCTTGTGGACAGGGTGGGTTACTCGACAAAATTCTCTTGCTCTACACTTCATTTATACAGGAATCAAACATGATAGCAGAAAAGCGTGTACGATAACTCCCAGTTGATTATTCAACTAAATTTCCACGTGCCAACTACTTGTCAATGAGATAAAGGTCCCAATTTGGATCACAGCTTATCTTGGGGTGATATGAGCTTATTCTTGTTGCCACTTCCCACTGAATAGTTCACAACCCTCCCAGTGACATGTCGGGGACTGAAAACAGAGAGCACACAAGCAAATCCAATATACGCAGGCACATCAGGCAAGGCAGACCTTCCAGCTACTACGAGCCTTTTCCTGATACCCTCCAGGAACAGTTATCCTTTATCGCAACATTCTGAAATCTCTTTCCTCACTCAGAGAGCCCTCTTGCTTAACAATAGTTTAGAAAACCTTAGATATCCCACTTATAAAAACACAAAGAAGAACATGCTATCTATCAAAGCCATTTGATGGAGTACACTGAAAGCTAGGATAGGACATTCAGAGAAGGACAAACCTCCACGATACTCAGCTGGACAACGGGACATGGTCCCATCTGTTCTTTACAACTTTGGCTTAAAACTATTGGAATTTTCCTAACTTCAAGGACGAGTAGCCCCACTGAAGTAAAATGCTTCCAGCCAAGCACAGGTCTAAGTCCTTCTCTGACTGGAACCTCATGCCATCAACTCTCACAGAAAGTGACTGTCTCCCAGTGGCTCCTCTGCTGAGGTTTTTCAGCACTACATTGTCTAAATAAAACAAAAACCCAACAATAACACCTTAGTCTGCACCCAGGCAACTCCAGCTTTTCCAATTTATGATTTAATTCCAGCTGATGTACTCTCAAAACTGAGAGTGAGTTGACTGACTACCAGATCAACTAGGATAGTTCACCTTGTTTTTCAAATATTTGTTATTCCTGCTACTAAAGCATTTCAAGGGAGGAGGCGATATGGACAGAGTCACCAGGTGGTGCTGTCCCACATGGCATTCAAGTTGTGTTCATCTTTGAGCGCTCTTCTCTGTAAGGAGCAGCAATATAACGTCGATTTGTAACTCAGTCTGTTTTCTTGTAACAGCAGGTCTCTGTTGGACTCAATGAGACTCCTAAGTTTTGCCAGACATTGATGTTGACAGAAAATGTGGAAATAGAGGGTTGCTATCATGGCACCAGGGCCCCCTCCATCCCAGGCACAGTGGAAGTACCAGGACTCTCACCAGTTGCTAAGACTCTCCACCCCTGGTTTCTCCCCAGCAGGAAAATGCTCTGCAACTTCCCATTATATCTTGTGGCTCAGCAATATGGTAACAGTGTTCATTTGCTGTAAAGGAAATCACTTACCTGTCCCGAGGCCCAGCCTGATTCCTCCAAGGAAATGGTTGGTAAGTTTTTCATGATCCCACACAGTCAGTTCAACACAAGCATCCTTTAGATCCTCTGTATGAAAGCCATCATATACAATCGTGTGATTGAAAACAGGGTTTGTGTCTCTTTTTATGACTCGGGTCTTTTGGTAACTCTTCTTACTGGTGTCTGGAAGCACATAGCTTTGAAAGGAGAAAAAATACAGCATGTAGTATTGAATATCACCTGAGATTTGAATTGTTCCCACAGAGTTCCTTGGTCTAAATAAGTCTCAGTTCTGAAGGAAGGAGGAATTAGGTCTCAACATAAGAAATCTCTGTAGATTTCATAGAATCATAGAATGGTTTGGGTTCAAAGGGACCCCAAAGATCATAATTCCTGGATGAAACTTTTTTTTGCCAAGAAAATCCTTTTTAAACGCAAACATTTTCAGAAAGGAGTGTACTTGCTTAAAATTTCCTGCTTTGGGCTTTTTTATTTTTATTTTTTTCTTTGCAAACTGACACTTCACATTAAAATGGACATTACTTTCACATATTTCTATTTTCATAAGTTTTCATGACATTTTTCATAACACAGAGGGCATTTCAAAATGATCAAGCAGGCTTACTGCGCAGCAAACCTTTCTGCAGGAGGACTCTGTAAAGATTCAGAATATACAAAAAACATGGTGAGCACTTCAAAGCACTGAAAAAAATCCTAAAATTCCCTTAAAAGATGTTCGATTTTCTGGCATATTTGCAGCCCCTTCTCCCACAAAACAGGCAGAACTGATGTTGCAGGCTGCAGAGAACATGCAGATACTAAATTATAGAGATGAAAACAGGATCCAACTGTCTGTATGTCAGTTCTGGCAAGTCCCTAACAAATCCCCAAACTTTCCATGCAAGCCCATATCAAGGCAAAATTCACAGCTTCATGTGAACACACTGGGCCAAGGTGCAGGGCCCACGTATTCCTCTTACTTAGCTATTACTGAGGCAAGTCCCTGAGTGAGTCACAGACGGTGATTATCCAAGAGCTTTATCACAGTAAGGATTTTCCTAATTTGGTCACAAGTGAATAAACAAGGACAATTCTTTCCTACAGAGCCCAGAGCAACACAAAGGCTTTACAATATGGAGGCACAGCTAGGTGAGCCTGAGAAAAGAGAAGGAAACACATCGCTTTGTGGAGGCACAGACCCAGGATCAAAGCCAAGACCCCGCTCGTGCACTTACCATTTCACAAAGGAGTCAACTCCAGAAGGACGCAACTGCAGCAGGTCCTTGATGTCTTTGACCCAAATGTGAACTTCGCCCGAGGGAGGATTCTTGGGACCTGCCATTTAAGAGAAGAGAAAAACCATCACACCCATCCTTACAATAGCTAGCAAAATGACAGGCTTCCTCCCCAGGGACCTGAGGGAGCAGCAACATGACTTCTCTGCGTACTCACTCCCTCACAAGCTCTTGCACCCCTCTGCCTGGGTGCCACAGTGCTACCACCAGCCTTGTCAGGCTTGCAGGCTGCAGAGCGCTCCTGACACTGTGTGCTGGTGCTGCTTCGAAACAGGAAAGGAGAAGGAGCTGCTGGGCAAACCCAACCTTGTGCCTGCCCGTATCTTGTGCTTGACCGCATCTGGAATATTGTGTCCAGTTCTGGGCCCCTCAGTTCAAGAAGGACAGGAACTGCTGGAGAGAGTCCAGCGTAGGGCTACAAAGATGATCAAGGGAGTGGAGCATCTCCCTTATGAGGAGCAGCTGAGGGAGCTGGGGCTCTTTAGTTTGCAGAAGAGGAGACTGAGGGGAGACCTCATTCATGTTTATAAACATATAAAGGGTGAGTGTCACGAGGATGGAGCCAGGCTCTTCTCGGTGACAAACAATGATAGGACAAGGGGTAACGGACACAAACTGGAACACAGGAGGTTCCACTGAAATTGGAGAAGAAACTTCTTCTCAGTGAGGGTGACAGAGCCCTGGCCCAGGCTGCCCAGAGAGGTTGTGGAGTCTCCTTCTCTGCAGACATTCAAAACCCGCCTGGACGCCTTCCTGTGTAACCTCATCTGGGTGTTCCTGCTCCGGCAGGGGGATTGGACTGGATGAGCTTTGGAGGTCCCTTCCAATCCCTAACGTTCTGTGTGATTCTGTGTGCCCACAATAAGAGGGGCTGTGTGTTGCTGCTACCACATGACAGCACCCTACAGTGCCCACAGTGCTCATAACAGCTGAGTTTGAGGTTGTTGAGCCCATCCTCTCTCCCCAACACTTTCCCAATAAATCTAGAAGTGAAAATCACAGGTAGGCTGCAGATAGTGCTATCAAGCACTGCTGGTTGTGCCCTTGTGCTCATCTCTAAGATCTTGCTCTAATGAGATTGCCCTAACCAGCCCTTAAACAGATGAGGCATTGCAAATTGCAAGCCTGCATATGGGCAATACTTCTTAACGCATGAAACACACTTTACCTAGGCTTCCTGGAGGGACATACTTAATAGACAAATTCATCACTCCTCGATGATCCACACCATTAACAGCAGAAAGGCTCTGAAACAGAAAGAGATCTGATTGACTAAATGAGGGATCATGTAAACATAGCAAGACAAACAGCTTTTAAGTTCAGTGTAGGGCCACAAATGGACAAACTCTGATTTTGCATGACAAGGGCAAGCCATTCTCAGGGCAACTCCTTTCTTTGTGGCTTTGTTCTCAAACTCAGTCCCTCAGAACCAAAAGCCTGAGGATTCAGAGCAAGGCTGCCTTTCCAGACGTGTGCAATTGGACATAATGAAGCATCTTAGTTCTGAAAGACAAATGTCCTTTATCTTCTGAAAAGATATCTCAAATCAGACCTCTGAGCCCAGAAGCATGCAGGAAGCTGTACACGCTTTATCAAACGTGGCACCTGAATATTTACCTCTCAAGGCATGTTCAACTGCATCACCCAGTACTCTGCTGTCTGTTTTTAAGGGATGGTCTTTATGTGAGTAGAGAGACAGGCAAAGTCATGTCAGAGTTTCTGTTGATTAGTGTCAGATCACAGTTATGAAAGTGTCCCTACAGAGCAGGCACCAAATAAGACCTGAGAAGGCCTGTGTTCAGAGCACTGAATACTGCACCAATATGTCCAGGGCTTGTCGGTGTTTTACTGCACTTCTCCAGGTACAATTCAGGCTGTTTTGCTCTGCCACACCACCCAAAGACCTCAGAGGAGTCAGGAAGGACTTTTGCCACTCCTAAAGGCTTCGGGGTTGGGCTAGGAGGTGGGATGGCAGCTGAGATGCACTTACTCGAGGCTTCAGTGGGTACCAGTTGAGTTTCCTGTTGCTCCAGTCCCAGCTGGCCAAGTCTATTTCGATCTCTCCCAAGAAGCTGTTACGTCCCAGTGGGTCATTGTGCCAAACAGAGAGGTTTAATTTTTGGATCAGTAATACCATTTTCTCTATTTTGTACTAGAGGAAGAAAGAGAAGTCAGGTTGTTCAAATTTTTCTTCTGTTTCTTTCACAATCAAAAATAAACTACTCAAAAACTCGAATAAGCTCTGACTGAGACCCTCAAACCCACTCCCCACATGCACTAATGGACTGGCCCCGCTCTGAACATCTCTGTCCTGCAGCAATACTACTACTCTGAGAAAGCTATTCTGCTGAGCACAGGGAAACCTAGCGCTCCATTCATCACAGGGCAAAACTTGCTTTCAAGAGTTATTAACACAGGCCCAGGCATTCTTAAATAATCCTCTAGGCTTTGATGAGTAAGATCACATAATGAAGACCTTTCCTACAAGCCCCATGCCCCATGACGGCACTTCAGGGAAGGGAAGAAGAACACCCCTTGCTCTGGCTGAAGACAGCTCAGGCTGCAGGTCCCTATCTCACCTAAAGAGCACCATGCGGGTTTGACAGAGAAATCTTGGGTGCCACACAGATGGGTGCAGAGAAACATTTAGCATCTCTGCCCTCACAAACCCAAGGGAAGAGAAGTGCAGCGTTGGTGGCAGGCAGGCAAAGAAACCTTGCCAAGAAGGCAGAATCTTTCCAGACCTGATCTGATACAGGTGCCTGCCACAACACAGATTTTCAGAACATATATTTGTTCTTACCCGTAACACCTCATTGTAAATGGGATTCACTGTCCTCTTCTTCACTGAAGTTTTCCTCTTACCCATTCTGGCTTTGTCTGGGAGCAGATAAGTTTTAACATACCTGGAAAAGAAAACAAACACCAGCTGGATATTGTTCTGTATCACCAAGCTCTAATAAGTGAGCAACGCTTGTGAATGATGACATGGGAAAAAAAGACCTGGAGTTGACCCTTTGAAGGCAAAACTAATTAAGAGACCTGCTAGGATATTAACTTGGTTTACATGTGAAGTTATAAATCTCACTGGAGATGGGTGGATGCCACCAACATTCAGAACAGGCAGCTGTCTAGGCAATATGGGAGCCTGCAAGGCCATATATCCATTTTCTGAAATGCTCATAGCTATAATATCTCTGTGAATTCAAAATTGGGGTGAAATCAGAGAGGAGGAATATCTTTAAGTCTCTCAGGGTTCAAATCAGGGTTCATCATCATTCAGACTAGAGATTACTAACCTCTCTACAACTACCATTGTGCCCTAACAGCACTTCCTTTCATGTAAGCATGTGTCTGCATCACCAGAGTTATTACCAAAGTGCATTCAGCATGGGGAGATCAAGCTTCACATGGACACAGAGAGAACATATTCCAGTGATAACAGGAACTCTTTGTAGTGATCAAAGCTTTCTCAATCTGTTCAAATTTAAGTCTGTGGCAACATATTTACTGATGCAAATGGCTCCAGAACCATCAGCTAGGAAAGTCCCAGCAGTGAGTACGCACCAGAAGTCTGAAGGAAGGAAGAAATCATGACATTTAAAAAGAGAAAATGTAAGAAAAAGAATCCTCCAAACCACAGTATTCAGCAGTGTAGAAGTCACAAGGCACCACAGCGTCACTCACGGGTCAGATCTGCCTTTCTTCTCATCCACGACAGCCAAGTCTTTGCACTGGGACACGTGAACCTGAAACTCCCGGTTCTTCTCGTCGTAGTCTAGAGCAAACTCCACGGTACCCTGGGCATCCACACTCCCAAAATCGCCGCTGTAGACACTGAGCACACTGCCACTCACCTGCCAGGTGGAAGAGCAAGGTCAGTGCCAATGAAACAGGCACCCTCCTGACCTGGTGTCTGGACAAAGGTGATAGTCTGAAAAGTGCATTCCCAGAGAAATTATCTGCAATTTCTGCCCTTGTGTAGTATTGTGTCCTTGACACAGCACTGGTGCATCCCTGTAACTGTGCTCAAACAAGCGAGGGCTGGGAAACCCAAATAAGGATCTCACAAGGATGTGCTCTCCTATACCAGGACTTAGAAGCACTAATCTAAGTAAATGCAGAAGACTTTTTCACCACTAAATCCTAAAACATTGGGAAATGGAGTCAAATATTACTGAGGGAGGTACACGACTCTCTTCCCTTTCCCTATTCTTTCAGTACAATCGGCTTCTATCCTGACCCAGTCTCATCACTAAGAAAGAAATACACTGAGATAACTTGAACTATCCATACATGAACAATATCTGGTAGATATTGTCATGCAATTTTGTCAATCAATTTTTAAAATAGGCCAGCAAGAACCATATCAGACTAGAAATACAGGGTAAACTTTACTATCCTGTTGCTTGCTCACAATGTGCATGGAGCAGTACAGAACAGAAACAGATGTATCTCCTGTCCTGAAGAGCCACTGTCCCACCAGAGACAGCCTGTGTACATCTACCTACCACAAAGGCACAGCAAAATGATGTTTCTACAGGTATAAATCAAGAGTTAGGCACCCAAGAGCCACTTGCTTTCCCAGAACAAACTGCACTTGCCCATAGGCCCTGGGAGTTCTTTTTCAAGGTTTTGTCTTTCACCAGTAGAAAGTGATGAAGCAGAAGAAAACCAAAGCTCCAGAAAGATGAGGGAATTTTCTATTGCACCAATCAGTCATGATTCCTGATGGGATAAAATAAAAGCTAATGCCATTTACAAAGGAAATAATTAACCCTCTTGGCGCTTCCCTGTGGTACAGTCATGAACATTTATCAAAAAAACTTTCCTAATAAATAACCCAATTCTTCTCTCTCTCCCCCTGCTTCCCTTGGTTCTGAATTTAATTTTGTCATAACCCACAAGAATCCACTAAACATCTCTCAGTCCTCGGAGTTGCATTTACCATCCCATCAGGACACGCACCCCAGCAGAGAACCCTGGGCAAGATCTTCAAGAACGGCTGTGTGACTGGGACACAAAAGGCTCATTTACGGCTCCCAGCCTCTCCAGACTAGGAAAAGGACTCATGCTTTAAAGCTCAAGGGTTTATTAACATATTTATCTACATTCATGATCTCTCTCTATCAGCTTTGCTTCACATATATACTTTAAATCTCACATATACAACTTGGAGATACTTCTAACAGTAATACCGCAAATTCAAGCATTTCTAAGCAGCACCCCTCTCCCCATTGCCTCTAAGGAATCTTTTTAAAATGCTCAACTAAACACACTCAGCTCTTTTCAGCTTTTCTTAGAAGTTGAAGCTCACGCTTTTGCTGTCCCTGCTGCTGAGGTCCCTCAAATTCGATGATAAAGTGAAGGATGAGCTCTGAGAGGGCACCTGTCTGCAGTGCCAGCTCTCTCAGAGCTGGACCACAAACGTGTCACTTAACAGCTGTGTGCCTCATTTCCCCACCTAGAGAAAGGCCCCCCCTCTCTCCTGCATGCTGCCAGGCTTCAGAGCATCCACACTTCAGAGCAGGCGCCATCACTTACTGTGAATTTGTCTAACAATGACCCAGTGGGTCTCTAATTTGAGATGGTACCTGGAGACACTCCCTTAATGCAAGTAATTAACCATCACCAGTCATTTGATAGTGTACCATGCAGAAACCAACAGAATACTCCGGAGGCCACATCATCTGTATCAGCCTAAATGCAGTGTCACTGCAGCCGCCTAAGAAACCCTATCTAGCGAGATGTACGCGTTAAATACCTACCGAGGAGACAGATGCCATGTCAGATGAGTGGCTGCCAGTGCTAGGCGTCTTTTTGTGCTTGTTAAACTGGAAGCTGATTTCCGAAGCTGTGTCTGATTCAGTCTGCTCAGAAAATAACAAGCATCTTTAAGCTCTGTCGTACGAGCACTTTGCAACACTACAGAGGAAAACCGATAGTTCAGCAGAGTCCCATTAAGCAGCGATCGGGTTAGGAGCGCGGAGGAGAGCGCAGGGAGTCTCTCCAGAGGCATTGCCTCCGACCGGCAGCGAACGTCATCATTAACTGCCTCCAAACAGAGCTGCATGCAACCGCCTGGGCTCTTAGGAAGGGCACAGAATAGCGTGCTTTGAGACAGAAGAAAACACTAAAACTCCTCCACGACAGAAGGGCTGGTCCAGGTTATTGGAGCTTTTTTCTTAAGACTTTTCTCATTTATTTATGACATAACCAAGACACGCTCTAAAGCAAGTGCTGTTGGCATTCAGGAGAAACATGAACCAGCTGCCATTCAGGGGATGCTGTGAACATTATTCCAGCCATTTGTGGTGCCTAGCCTACCTCAGACAACAGGAGAGGAGAGGATCTGCTCAGGTCTTTGATTCTTTCAGGTTCGAGAAACTGATGGGGTATCAAATGAGGTTTATTGTACGCTGTAAGTACAAACAAAAAAAGGCGTCAAGGTATCTTGTCTCAGGAAAATATAAGAAAGTCACATTTTTCTCTAAGGGCACAAGGAAGGAGGAGAAGCTTGTGGGAGGCACCAGCGCACCCACCCACTTGCCCCATCTCTGTCCTCTGCCACTGAATCTGACACTCCCCAAGACAAAAACTGCTAGCTAAGATCCTAAAGCTATTTTCAATGTGTTTTCATTCAGTGTGTGCAAACTCCCTCTAGGGGCTAATTTAATCCACTTATTAGCCTAAAGATGTGTATCGTTTGCATAATTTTCTCTGTGTAGATTTAATTTACACTAAAACCATGCAGATCTGCCTCCTTGTCATAGAAATGAAACATGCTCACGTTTTTGTCTCATAGCACATTGCCCTGTGCAAAAGAGGTGTAAAATATTTATACCTACAATTCCACCACCGCATACACCTCTCAAGTACTCTGCTAGACAAAGAGGTGGACAATAACCTGATATGTAAAAGAAAAAAGTCAGAAAGCTTCATATCAACTTAGAAAGATGGTTACTGGGCTGCTTAAATGTCTAAATAAAACCTATTTGTTCTATCTTTATATTTTCTCAATAACTTCTTTGCAGACGAGTACCTCTATCTCAGAAGAACTTGTGTTTAGAAGATATATGTGCATAAACATGCATGCACACATACACACTTGTTTAGCATGTTAGCCACAATGATACATTCTTCAGTGCTCACAATGCCCAGGAGCTTCTTTGGCATTTCCCTTTTAACTGATTCACCTTTTATATGATTTACCATTCATCTGGTATTTACTGTTTTCATTTCTAAACATGAGCAAAGCATTAAATCTAGCCCTCTCCACAGACTACTTGTTAGACTCCAGACAAGTAACTCTGTAGAGGAGGGTTTCTGAGGATGAAATTTGTAGTTCTAAATAAGCTTTAACAGGGGAAGGTTAAAGTCTTGTTTGTCTGTATGTAGACCATGTCACTACTCAGTGGCAATGCACGTGGGACCTGAAGCTTCCAGCCCCTGTGCTGTGTGATATTGTCACACGCACTTGGCACGAGGTTACCAGACAGGCTGGGCACAGTCATGGGGCGATGCAGCGCATCCCACCCGCAGGCTGCCCTTGACACAGCCCCATCCTCCCTCTCATAACCAGGGGCTGGGCTTACTTAAATGGGCTTGATCATTTCCTCTAAGTGGCATTACCCTTCCTCAGGCATTGCTTTCCCAGCCTTCTCACCTCAGTCCTGACAGTCTTGGCCTTGCCACTTTGCTTTTAGGCAAGCTCTTAGCTGTCCTCTTGGGCCTGCCAGTTTTCAATTTTGGGGGACTTTTATTGGCTTTCTTGGCCACAGAGGCTGCTGCTGCCTTCCTTCAGGCCCCTTTCCTTGGCTGCAGCTTTCTTGGGCTTCTTGGTGGTGTAGACAAGTTTCTTGGCCATGGGCTTCTTCAGCTTTGCTGCTGCTTTCCTGGTTGCCTTCTCCTTAGCTTTTTTTGGTTTCTCAGGGAGAAAGCGCCACCATAAACCACGTCCCAGCTGGTAGCTGGGGAGATCAGTGCAGCAAAGGGGGTCTGCTCTGGGTGAGGTGAGAGGTCCAGGCTGGGCACTGCAAGCCCAGTAAGTGTGTGACAGGAGACCGCAGCACGACTCGCACGCTGGACACGAGGTCTGGCACCTCTGATTAATCCGCCATGCAGCCCCCACAGAACTCAGTGGAGGAAGAGGAGAGATGGGTGCGAGCTTCTTGCCAGCTTTTTGAAACCCCTGTGCTTTTTGCTGAAGACACTGAGTAACATACTATCAATCTAGCTGCAATTTCCTGGCTCTGAATTTAATTTCAGGCACTATAAGCTCTCTAATCTGTTGATAAAACAATATGTCATTTTCCTTGCCTGGTACATGCACAGAAGCAGCAGGGATGTAGAACTTGGGCATAATATATTACCTTCGGGGAAAGGAACCCAAAAAGGAGAAAGAAAGTTGCTACTCACTCTCTGTGGTTGTGTAAATGTTCACCATGCTCTTGGCAAGATTAATGCTATTTGCTCGGGCCAATGCCTGAGCGGCGGGAGACTGATTCCCATCTTCCTCTGGAATACATGAAAAGTCAAATCAACACAGTAAATAAATAAGCACAAACGGGCAGTGTGTCAGCAACCACGTGTGTGTGTGTGTATGTGTGTGTGTGTGTGTGTGTGTGTGTGTGTGTGTGTCTCGCTCCTGGCTTGTTCACTCTGCTTAGAGCACATTGCAGTTACATTACATAGGGCTGCTTTCAAACCATCAGTGCACTTTAATGTCTTTCCCTGTGAATAACTCTTCACACTATGATGAGAAACATAGACACTGGATTAACCCAGTCACTAAACCAGACCAGCATTTCCAAAGAGCTTCCAGTGCAACACAGCCATCTGCTAATATCAGCCTGAAATGAATGTAATAATAAGACAAAAAACCTGAGAAATATAAGAATGATCTGGTACAGAAAGGAAAAGTTTATGTTTAACTGAAATGCAACTCAGGATTTTCATTGAAGTGTAACACGAGGTAGGAAATAAGCCAAGAAATGACACAGTTAAAAATCAGAATCAGATGAGTCTGTGGAAAATCCTCTCAAACAGGTCTTACCCAGGTACCTGAGGACAGGAAATTTGGAAAAAGTAGGTAAGAAGCTCTCTCTTCCTAGGTCTTTGCTTGGCAGAGAGCAGAGGTGTGGGCAATCAGAGCCCACATTTAAAATGAATTGCAATTAACAATCACTTTTGCTCATATTAACAGTCACTACAAAAGCCTGTCAAACCTAGAGAGAGACTGAAAAAGTGGTGATACTATTGACACCATCATGGCTGAGAACATGGTATCAAACCCAAAAAGATCAGACTCCTTGTTCAATCCACTCTGGTTGCAGTTTAATAACCAAATTCATTTGTGCATTCCCAAAAGACCCAAAATGTCATTTTAGCACTGAGAGCCAGCAGCTATATCAAGGTAGCCTAACAGACAAAGCATTTATTAAACACTTTGCTTCACATTTTATTTCTTCAATTTGTGTCAGAGTTCTCTTTACCACCACAAAGAATTCCTCCACATTTGAAGAAAGTACAGTCTTCTCAGTGAGTGAAATAAAGTAAGTTCCCGTGACCTGCTGTAGGTAGCACTAAAGAAATGGAAGGCTGTCCCAAGCTGAGGGGCTGGCAGGTAAGGCAGGAGGGCTGGTAGGGGGGAGGAAGGGAAGGGAACATGGCACTGCTCCTCTTACGCTCGCACTGTACTACACAAGATTTGTTTTCAGAGCGGTTTGCTAAACACATTCCACAGACGCCAACTCTGCACAAATTGCAATACAGGATAAATGGACAAATGAAGAAAATGTGCAAAACACAGAAAGGCTAAGGAAGAAAACAGGCATAGGGATGACTCTCCATTAGGATTTCACAGGGTGTGTTTACAGCCCTCAGTACCTGAGTATACAGCTGAGTCCATTCCCTGAATGGCTTCTCCCTCTCCTGCTGGTTCACTGGGTGTTGGCTTGTCTGAAGACTCATACATTTTCTCCTCAGGTAGCTCTCCATTAATTTCCACGTTGTCACGAGTGCTCAAATCAGATCTTTCTTCTTTCTCGTCATCGTTTTCACCATCTGTAAGCACAGGCTCTATCAGTATCTGCACCCTGCTCGCCAGGGAATTTGCTACGTGCTTGAGCTCTTCTGCCACGATAAAGTCGTCTGTAGGCATCTCTGGCTCAAACGTGCTGCCAGACGCTTCTTTGGTAGGCGACTTGCTTTTGACGGAAGGCGCTCGCACAGGCAATCTGGATTTCTTGGAGCAGCACTGTGCTGCCTTCTCTTCCTCTGGCACTGGTGGCTTCCCACTGCTTTCACTCAGTGAGTTATTTCTTGTGATCAGGCCGCCTTTGCTCTTGGCGTATGTGGACCTAGGAACGACAGAAACCGAGCCCTTCCTTGCAGGGGCTACATAGCTCGGTTCTTCCTCACTAGAAGACAAGGTTATTGTCCTTTTGTAGGGGGATCTTGTTCTGGGGAAGACGCCAGGTTTTTCTTCGCTGTTCTGGCCTTGCCCAGACTGCACAGAGAGCGAGCGGCATAGCTTGAACTGCCTACAGTCTGCCTCCACCCAGCTCGGGTCCTCCAGCACGCTTCCCGTCACAGAGTCTGCTCCCTTCTCCCAGAAGTCCTTCAAGTTCTTGAAGTGTTCACGATCGACGCCGATATCCTCCTCTTTGTTACTCATTGATGAGATCGTATAGTTCACACCTTGCTTCACAGCCTGGCTGCTTTCCCCCTCTGTGGGCAGTGGCTTGGGGCTTGCCAGCAGCCCTCTCTTTGCAAGGCTGTTCTCAACCTGCCCCACGTGATTCGCAAACTGCTCGGATCTGGGGAAAGTTCTGCTTGGTTTCCTCTTAACTGGTATCTTGCTGGGAGCACAAGTTTCTTCTGGTGGAGTTTTTGGTGCCACTGTGGTGCCAGTGGCCCCATCACCAGCTTCTCCTCCAGCTGCACTGCTGGGCTGAGGCACAGCATCCTCGGGGAGCAATGGAGATACTCCATGACCTACAACAACAACAAATGCTCACAGCCTGTCCCATCACATCACACTGTATTTCCCTGGAAGTTCTGGGCTGCAGCTTCTCAAAGGAAAGCCAGGAGGAGTTTCCAGAAACCATCAATATGATCCTAATTCTTACCCATTTTGAGACTCTAGCAAGCCCCTTTCCATCTGAAAAAAGCCCTGAAAACCCCAGCCCTTCTCTCTGTAACAGGACACAGAAAAAATCCACTGAGTTCTAAAGCGTTGCTGTGAGTTGGGGATTTGTTTGCAGCTTTGCTTTCAGTTTGACACCTTCCTACTGGCCATTTGCTATGTACCAAAAATACACTATAAATTCAAGGCAGGAAAGAGACAGTAACTTGGATCTGTGGGTAAAGGACTTGTGAGCTAAGCACTCAATTTAAAATGTACTGAGAGCAAGCAGAAGTTTTAATAATTCAATTTTTTTTTTCTTTGTCCCTGCTGCCTTGGGCATAATTCATATGAGCGTTGGCAGACCATTCTTATATGCCAAGGTAAGAAATACTCTTTGTTGCTCATTTGTATACACACAAAGAAGCATCCCGTCTCTTGGTGTTTAATGGTGAATAATAAAACTGCCAATGGCTCACGCAACAAAAACCTTACCTTTTCTAGACAAAAGCAAGCTGTTTGTTGCAGCCACAAATGGACTTGTTCCCGTGTCGCTCTCTGAGGAAGAGACATCCTGTATACTGGAACTCTGAATGAAAAACAAACTTATCAGAGTATACAAACTGGAAAGACTGGAAAAATGTATTTTATTTGAGCACAGACACCAGAACTTGCAGTCTGTGGAGCCCCTGCCAGTAGGCAGAGATTGTGTGAAGGTCCAAGGAATAACAAAATGAAGTGCAGAGGCTGTGACTATACTACCTTGTGTGATGCAGAGAGTAGGACAGGAAGTCTTGGCTTCGGTTTCGGCAAGATTTTACACTCCTCTGTGGTGTCAAGAGCAGGTGTGCTGGATCTGTGGGACAGGAAGAAAGCCTGAGCAAGGAGATCAGTGGTAGCAATGTGCCTGGTAGGAAGATCAGGCAGTCATTACCATTGGCTCAGTTCTGCTCAGCTACTCTGCCACTTTTACCTACTGACCCAGTCTAATATAAGGCTGCCCAGAGCTGGTGCCTTCATTTATTTTCTCTGTTACTGTTTGGAAGGACTGGAGAACATGTTAAATGGCCTGAATTTGGAGTAAAGACAAGTCTCCCACTGCAGCCAGTACAGAACTTGCTCAATAAAAAAAATGGTGTCAACTTCTGGGCTTATTCAGACTTCCCCCTTCTGGGAGAAAACCATAGGGAAAAACACAGGAAGCAGCAGTGCCAGAAGAGCCCGAGAGCCATGCAAGAGGGAGATGCATTTCCATGCAATGGCTTAGGAAGGACCAGGCCACACCTTCCAGGTTAGGCCAAAGGCATAACCAGATTGAAGGAGGATTTAGAAACTACAGAAATTATTATGACAACAACCATTAGGGCAAAACTGTAGTACAGGACATAAATCTTCATGCTTGGAATAGAAGTTAATTACTAACTGCCTTGCAAATAAATGGTTGGAAAAGACCTCTCAGATCATTGAGTCCAACCGTCAACCCAACACCACCATGCCCACTAAACCATGTCCTGAAGTGCCACACCTGCACATTTTTTTGACCACCTCCAGGGATGGTGACTCCACCACTTCCCTGGGCAGCCTGTTCCAATGCTTGACCACTCTTTCACTAAAGAAATTTTTCCTAATATCCAATCTAAACATTCCCTGGTGCAACTTGAGGCCATTTCCTCTCATCTTATTGCTTGTTCTCCCACTGACTCCCACCTCGCTACACTCCTTTCAGGCAGTGGTAGAGAGCAATAAGGTCTCCCCTCAGCCTCTTCTTCTCCAGACTAAACAATCCCAGTTCCCTCAGCTGCTTCTCATGTGACTTGTTCTCCAGGCCCTTCAACCAGCTTCGTTGCCATTCTAATGATCCTTCATTAAGCAGCACCCAGTGACCAGTTACGTTTGGAAATGTCAAGGGCCGTATTTAATATTTAACTGGAGCGACTGCCACCCGTGAAGTATGATTCCTCGTTCTGCTGACAAAAATGCCAACGAGATGGGAGCCACAACAAATGAATATGTGACTATTTTAATGGCTTCTCCACAGTCCACAAATATTGAGTGAGGTCACTGATTTGCTTGTCAGAGCGCTTTTAGAGGGTGTTTCAGGTCAGTCAGCACAACGTGAAATCCTACCCAGCCTTGATGGAGCATGCTGAGCACTGGGCACAGAGGACCAGCACCAGCAGGAAATGAGCAGTTTCCTCAAACTGTTCATTTTGTTAGTGTTGCTCCATGACAAAAATTAAACAAATAAAACCATAATTACTTTGAAAAACTAATCAGAATATCCTGACATTAGAGACAGCTTCCATTTTACCAACCCGTTATCAAATCATGCAGGAAAAGACCTGTCTGGGATAAGCCCATTAGCACTTAGTTATTAAGGGACGATTGATATTCTGACAATTCCTGGAAAAAAGATTTTATAAATATCCTATATAACCTATTATTTATAAAGTCTTGGAAACTCAGTTAAAGACCAGGATTTAATGGGTAGCATTCAATTTTCATTAGAAGTAAGAGCAGCAGTCAGAGCATTGCACTAGCAGCGGTGGTTACCTCTTCTCTCCTGTGCCAGGAGTGTGCTCAGAGAAGGCAGATCTTGGGGCAGCTTTGCTTTCCAGACCCATGCAGATGTGCTCATTGGCCTCATCTGTAATATAACAGAGAGAACTTAGAAATTACATTTATTTAAACCCGTAATGGTCACTGTTTGGAGAAAGAAAAGACTTGTTAAATGAGTCCCACCAGGACAAACCCTGGGGATTTAAGAGGAGGTGGCTGATGGGGGCTCTGCCTGCTCTCCGCACTGATGGGGGCAGTGGCACCCACGCTCCCCATGCAGCAAAGGGAACCTCTAGACCCATGGGTCCAAGAGGCCAAAGAGAACTGCCAGGAGGTGTCGTATCACTGGAAACCTTCGCAGGACACTGCTGTGTCTGTCAATAAAGTTAATCCGTTCCAGGATTTAAATTCAGCCATTTCCTGTTTTGACTTAAAGTCATCCGATCTCGGCAAACAAAGGAGGAGGCCAATACAGTTAATGAGGAGATCCCTGTTATTTTTACTGGCACAAGGCTCAGCTGTGTCTTCTGAGCTCTCAAGGACCTTAAAGAAAAAACAATAGAAGATTAAAACCTTTAGAGCAGCCTGCCACAGTATAAAGTTACATTAGACATTTTGGTGGCAAACAGGCTTTCTTGCTACTGCAAACCCAAAAGGATTAAAGTCTCAAACAGCAATGAAAAACTAGTCTGGTACTTATTTGCATGCACCTAGGTCTATTTTAAAGAGTAAATTTACCTGTTATAAAAACAGCCAAATCTCTTTAGGATATATTTCATTACAAAAGACAATAGAATCAGAGGCTCAAAGGATTCAGATGTGACATTAAAGAATATAGCCTCACTTGTTATCTGATTAGAAAACCACATTAAGCCGAAGAGCAGATCAGTCCAATGGACAGGCTGTGGTACCAACATCACGCTGGTGCTGCCTGTGTGGTGCCATCCAGCATCAGCACAATCAGCCCACAGGTGACAGGGATATCCCACGATGGAGCTTCATTCCCCCTTGCCTGTGCAGCCTCATGGAGAAAAATGCTGCAGTCCCAACTCTTCCTCCCCATGCAGCACCTCACCCTGTGGTGCAGGGGATCATGGCAAGCATTGCTCAGGGCTGCCTGCATTAGGACCCACATGAGATGGCAGCCGGGTGGCCCCGTGGTTTCTGCAGCAGTGGGCAGTCAGGGAGTTGCTCCCGCTGAAGAACAGGAGCCTGGCTGTGTAAGGACGAGCCGGTTTTAGGGAGCATGTTTCTGAGAGGGGGACTGTGTTTTGTCCATGTAAACACTGATGTGCAAAAAGCACGGTGAACATTGTGTCGGGAGAGACAAGCTGTGGCATTGCTGGTGGCACACACAGGCCATGCCACATGCAGGCATGGGAAGGCACGCTGAGAAGCGTTTCTTTATGCACTGAGCCACGTCCTCCTCTTCTGTCTCAGACCCAATGGAGGGAGAAGCCAGAGGTAACTGTTCTGGAAGCAGAGGAATCAAACACAGAGCTCCCGCATTTTCCCTCTGCCTGTCATGGCTGAAAAGACCTTGAGAACCAACGGCTGCCTTCATTGTTTACCTCACTTCCACTTCCAAAAGCACTGCATCATATTTGCTTTTCACTGACACTTCCCCCTCAGACAGAGCTCCCTCCTCCCGGCTGGCAGAGGCAGCGGGAGGTGTTTGCTTCCTCCCATCCAAATCAGTGCCCTTCAAAATGGCTCAGCTGCTGACACAGCTATACCTGGGTTCTATAACCACAAACAAATAGGTTATTAGTACATTATGATCCATCAAGACAAGAAAAATGCCCTTGCTGACTTTAGGATGAGGCAGAATAAGAAGCAAACTCCAACAGAAATTAGTAGTAGCCTGACCAGTTTAACTTGTCCATACATATATTTATATACATATGTATACAGTCACTCCTGCTTGAACACTTCAGCTGCTTTGCTCATTTCCTATGAAATTCCTAAAATGAAGACATTCAATGCGTGGGGAAAGCACAGCTAACTGTGCCATCAGGGCTGACTTGCCTCGGCGGGCAGATCAAATGGTGTCTCCTAGATGATTTTTAGCTCTCATCCACTGCACACAAGCTCAAGGAGAAGGTACCACCAAATTCACCCATCTGTGCTACTCTGCAGCCATAGTTTAAATATAGGTTATCTATCTATTTTATAGCTTTATATTACTGCCAACTACTAGTGTTTTCTATTCTAATCAGTACCAACTGTGAAGACCCTTAGGGATCCACGTAACCCTCCCTTCTGAAGGTTAAAACCCTCCTCCAGAAAAGGTCACTGGGCATTTTCCTGTGCAGGCACAAATTTCCCCCCCTCCTCAGCCCATTCACCATGCAAAGGGAATGCCAGCAGGGCTCTTCCATGCAGGAATATTCTCATTTCACCCCCTGACACAGTCAAAAACTTAAATCAGGATTAACAGCCCTGGAGTCATGAACGTGTTACATTGATTTGGCTAAATGAACACACACCCCTTCATCACCTTGAGAGCTGACAGAGGGTGCGTGACTCTGATCTTTCCAAGAGAAGAAAAAAAGGTGCTGGTGGCAAGCAGAGGCCCTTATCTACTGCAGATACAACATGAACTGCATGTAAACCCAAACCCTTTGTAAAGGGGCTTCAACCTTGTTGCCCAATGGGCCAAGTGCTGCTCTCACCAGTGCAACGCTCCTGCTGACAAGTCAGTGAGAGAAGTGCCTGTCCTCACACGTGAAGGGAGCCAATCCATGCAGTAACCACTGCAGGAGCTGAGCGCAATAGGAAACAGCGAGGTGAAAATATTAGCTGCAGAATCTTATCCTCAATCAGTGCTTTAAAGTTGCAGAGGGAAAAGTAAGAGGAAGGAATAAAGTCACATTATACTTGTGCTTTACCAAAATAAGTCTGAGAATAGAAAAAGATAAAGAAACGGAAGAAAAAAAGTTGAAAAAGAAATAGAAGGCTAAATCTAAACACAGTTACTATAGTACTTTAGTAACATTGGCTTCTTCCTTCTTAAAACAGCATTAATCAAGTAATACACATGCAAAGACATAACTTGCATATTACTGTTAGTTTAACAACGAGATTATTTTAGATTATTATCTGAGACCACATCTCATATATGCATATTAGCAATAAAAGTTAAATCTAAACCCAACAGTACTTCAAATTTTGCTTTCCTGAAATGGACTGCAAGCTGAGGGTGCTGATGCCTCTGGCAAGGCAACAGGCAGTTGAATCCAATCCAGTGCTGGCTACGAGCTGGGCTGTGCATAACAGAGCATTTGTCTGACCTGCGCTCCAGCACAGGGGCTGCTGAAGCATCTGTCTCTTCATACAAAGAGGGTGCAAGCACAAATGTACATACTCAAAGAGCAAAGCACACGCTCTGCAGAATGGCCAATCAACTCTGGTTTTATATGTTTTAGCATTCTGGAGGGACAATAAAAGAGTAAATTTAATGACATCATGAATGCTTAATATCAAGGATAAAAGCAACTTCACATGAAATATGACAGGCCAGTTCTGCATCAGAGGCTCCAGTGAATCTATGCTGAGAGCTGTCAGGGAGAAGTGAAAAGCAAAAATCAGTGAGAATCTTGGTTAGTGAATTCCCAGACTTTGAGAATGTGTCTAAATAATGTGGAGCTTAGAGGGGTATACTAAACCCAGACAATTAATGTTACAGAGATATCCTGGCCAATGAGGCCCATCAAACAAATGGGTGATCTATATTGCTCCTACTCCGCAGCAGAAATGGGGAGCTGGGCCCAGGCGAGAGGGCCGAACTGAGCTGGTGGAGATGACATTTGAATTTTGGACAGAGGGAAGATAACCCTCTATCTGTGAGAAGCCCTTATTGCAAAACAACAGAGCCCAGCTATAGGGTCCTTACATTAGGGTCTTTACATTAGGGACCATTGTAGACTTCGCTTAGAGCTGTGTATCAGAGCCATGGCTTTCCCAGTGCAGCAGCCAGTAACTCACCAGCCATGTCTGAGAATGTGCGATTCCCCACCCTGACAAATAAGCAAGGAGGTTGTGTGAGACTGGGCTGCAGTCCCACAGTCCTGCTGTCCCACAGTCCTGCTGAGGAGTCAGTTGGCCTGTCTTCATGTTGAGGACTGGATGTGAATCATCCCCAGTTCTGCTTTGCACGAATGTTCAGCACAAAGTGCCAGCTCCAGGCTGGTTACATTTGGACTCAAAGCACAGTCCTGCTCATTTCACATCGGGTTGGTCTCTTCTCTGCCCTGAGCCGATAAATCTGATTTGATCTGTTTTACAAACCATCATGAGAGTTCATCTGCATGTCAAACAAGAAGCAATACATCTGCTTCAAATTAGCACATGGTCCCACACATACCCTTGCTATGGCACAGCAGCATGGGTACCATTCAGACTTGGCCCCAAGGCCCTTTTTACTTTGAAAACTGCACTGTGCCTTGGAATTATTCCCATGTGAAAAACTAGGCATGGACTCTCTCAAGTGGGCAAGTAATTGCCAAGAGAAGAGAGGCACCTCCTCCTCCCTTGCAGAGCTGTGACTGATCCCATCACACTGGAAGCCTGTGAGAGCAGCTGGCTGTTTTTGTCAGATCACTCTAGGAACTGCGGTGGTGAGAGGTGTTTGACCCACACATTTCAGATTCATGCCAGAAATTGCCCTACATCAAACCCTTCCCCTTTTGATTCTATGACAAGGAACGATACCAGTGACCTCTGACAGATCTTTTGGAAGAAACAAGCTTAAGTGGGGAAAAGGCATTTACTGCACCTAGCAGCTTTTTCCCCTGGTCCTCTGTCACACTGTTAATTTTTTCTTTGGGCCTTGATTTTGATAATTTGATATTTTTTTCTAGTACTGAAAGCTTAGCTGAGAATCCCCTTATCACACCACGCAGGCTGGTCCCCGACAGGGGAGACCTCCATACTTGACCACTTTTTTCTGGTCCATCCATTGGTTTTCTTAAGATGCTCATTAATATACTTACTTTCCAGTTTGCCCTTTCTCCTTCTAATTGATGCCCGAAGTAGGTCCGGACCCTCTAGGTCTTCCTGAAACCGTTTTGCCTTCACTTCTGAAAACCATTCACCTGTCACAAACTTCTTCTTCTTTTCATCCTTGATGGAGCCTTGTATTCGCCTGAAAGTCAATGAGAACATCACACACCAAAACGATCTCCAAGGTTTTGACTTCCCCTGAGCTACCTCCGTAACAACTGCCTGTATGGTTCACATGTCTGGTACTATGAAGGATCCAGAGATTATCTTCTGCAATCACAAGGCACAAACCAGCATTAATTAAAAAAAGCTGATTTATTCCTTATCTGAAATGGGAACAGCACCTTATAAACACAGGCCTTCGCCTCTTCCAAATTTTACAAATCCAAACTGGAGTCACCTGACAAGGAGATCTGTCCATTTGCTTTGCTGCCCTGAGGGTTTGGGAAGGGGTGGGACTGTTCACAGGTCCTGTACTTCTCCATTTTATTTGTCTATTAGCCTCTTTACAAGCAGCAAAGGCTTTTGGATCAAATCTGATGCAAATCATGGAAATAAATCATGTGTTATTTAGGAGAGCAACCCGTCCATGCAGCATTCTCCCTTCTCCTCCTGCCATGCCGATTTTGGCACTCAAATAGTTAGCTCTCCTTCCTGAGCACAGCTTCTCTGACTGTAACTCACTTGGGCACACCCAGGGTTGGTTTTTGGCATCTAAACCCATCAGTGCTCTGTTTGCTAGCCTGTACTTCTAACCCTCCTCTGGTTATTTTGTTTTTACACCACGGATTGCTGAATTAGCTGCCTTTGAGCTGGCGCTGCCTCCCATGGCTCAGCACAGTTCAGGGTCCCTGCAAGACCTGAGAGGCCAGAGAAAACTCCCACTTCAGTCCAACCTTCAGCAGGGACAGGGGGCAAAACCCCAGATAACCGTGGAGCCTTGAACGGTCACATTTGGCTGCTTAAAGTCCAGAAGGGAGCCCATATGGGAAAACCAGGCTCCAGCCTCTGCAGACAGTGCTGGGGCTCAGCCGGA